AGATTTATAAATGTTAAGAGAACAATATCCCAACAGTTTAGCTGAGTCATACGAACTATGACAACTCTCTCAGTGGTCACTAGTATATGGATTAGAATTCCCTGCTTCAGACCCCTTGTTTTCAGCTTTCAAATAATGTTCTAATTTCACATAGAGCTTATAACACTCATGTTTTTTTAAAGGAATATCGTTTTTCTCATTGTAGAACATGTTTTTGTTATCAGAAACATTCTCATTATTTCGAAGTATATTAACCTTTGTTTTTCAGCTGTACGCACATGTGACAAAATAGGGTAAAATGTCATTACTCTTCTAAAATCGATAGTATGTTTTGTTCCTCGTCTTATATTGTATATAGTGTAATACTACCGTCGCCATTTTCTACTGTGGAGTTAGATTAAACAAGCTTTATTGGTGTCGCTGCCATTAAATTCGTTAAACGTGAGTTACATAATTCAGTAGCGAGCGAGTCGAGGGGGCTTGTATCGATCCTTTTGGTGGCCTCTCTGCTTCTGCCCGACTCTGGTAGTCTTTTTGATGCTACAGATCGACTGTGTCCCCTCTGCTATTGCTCAGGAGGTCCCACAGAGCTTCGTTTCTATAATTATAAACTCTTCGAAGGGATTACGAGGTATGATAACTAACTCTTTCTTGAGACGCTAATTTGCCTAAGAAATTCTCCTTTTTTATGGTACCATCAGTTTATTACGGTATTCAGAAGACCCCGCCATTATTCCCTTTCCTGGGCCAAACAAATCCAGACTTTGTCCTCATGTACTACTTATTTAAGATTCATTTCGTCTCCTTAGGTTTTCCGATAACGGTGTTTAATTATTATGTGAACGAAATAACAAATTCTGAGTTAGCAGTCTCCTTGGGCTTCTGATTGATAAAGACATCAGAAATCGAACCACAATATCTGTACGCGTCGCGCCGTGTGCCTTATTTTAGACAGTTTAAATATTTATCCATTTGATGCCAGAAAAACTAAATGCTTAAGTGCATACTAACCTAGTTTTCTGTGATGTGTAATCCGAAGGTTCATTACCACAGTGCTGTTTTTTCCATGTAGTAAATGTGGGGGAACCCCCCCCCCCCCATCATTATTTCATACCAAGTTTTGTATTTATTCTCATCATCAGAAACATCAAGGTTTTGATCCCTTCTGACTCTGTTTTGAATAGGTTGCTGTTATAATAAAGCTTTGGCGTCAAATGGATCGTTCTCCTCTTCGTGTTTTCGTTTTCGTGACTCTTGATTCAAGTATAGAATTCAAATGCATGGCGAACTATAGCATGGTTAATGAACAACCAGCTAGTGCAGTATCGACGTGCGTATGAGATCGTTTACTCTACTGTGTCACGAAGTAAGCTGTCCAAAAGTCTCAGAGCAACTTTGTCGAAACACCGGGCTGTAGCCGGCTGTATCAGAGCGTCACCATATCAGTGTTACGGGGACAAAGGAACGGGAAGATACGGATGGACGGAGTCATGCCTTCTTTTGTATAAAGAGGTCGAAGAAATCGACACAAAACTTCCGACCGACATTCCAATAAGTTATTTCCCGAATGCAATCGAAATGATATTTTGTGCGGTGCCGTCTGCATTAGACCAAATTTTTCCCTCCAGGTTTCTCACCCTGGGCTGTAATGTTTCCTCCCCCTGTCGCTTCATCGTCTCACATAGTCAGTCTGGTACGCTCCAAAGGATTTCTGACGGTTTTAATATTTCTGCTTTATCGCTGTGTTGTTATGTATATGTTCTTAGAAACTGTAATTCTGGTTTTGTAGAGCACGTACCTGTACGTGGACAAATGCCTACAAGCAGAAGAAGACAATTCATTTGGATAGAATGCTGAACTAGGATAAGGAAGTGACTGAATCATGCCATGTTTGTAAGGCTAAATCAGAATGAAAACAGCAAAAAGGTCTGATTGGAGCACACACTTTAGTAAACAATGGAGTGCATTGTGTTTTTAATTTCTAGGAGCTCTAGGGACAACTTTCAGCGTGTCTGTGATATTCTCCATGCAAGAAGCAAAGTACTCGGTACTGAAGTCAGTTCTTAACTTGTAAAGACGTTAAAATGTTCGATCGTTCGTGCATTTGCTTTATTTATTTATAATTTAGGCTTCTGTGCATATATGCCTACTTAGAACGTTTCATGGAACAGTCATATCGAAACGTTTAAGCTATTCAGAAAGTTTACCCTCCAAAGCGTTACTCTTTGCATCACGTGAACACAAAATGTTCACATGATGTAAAGAGTAACGCTCTGTCCATTCGCAGATTTATCTGCTAAACTTCTCGAATGGATTTCTATGAAACTTCGTATTTTTCATTTCACTAAATCGTGTTGGGAAAGTGTAAGCGAAATTCCTGTCGGTCTTTAAAGATTAAATAGAACACCTTAAACATTAATTTCTTTTGTTATTTCTTTAATTTTATTGGGTTTTCTTTGTTCATTTAGATTTTATTTTGTTACGAATTTTATCAAAAGCAACTCATGCCTCAATCTTTCATTTGGATGCTATTTGGACCGTATTAAATCTACAAATTTTTCATACTTTTTTTGTTATTGTGTAAGCCTATATTTAACGAAGCAGCCTCCAAGGAAAAACAGTTTATACTTGTAAGACGTAACATCTCTGCGTGTTATTTGATTTGTGAACAATAGAAACTACCACTGTGCAGTGGGGTTTCTTCCTGTTGAAGTTTTTTGCAACTATACATTTATGTTTGCAATAACTGAACATCAAGACTGGCGACTGATTCAGAATCGAAAAGAGTGTAGCTGAATAATGTCTGTAGGCTAGTTCCAAACTGGAGTACACTTTTCAATTCTTGCTCTATTATATTTGTACAATCAACACTGTCTATAAATGCCATATATTGAGTAGGTTTTCTTGTGCTCTTATGAATGTCAAACACATGGTGAACCAGTACCATATTATATTATATTATATTACTATTATGTCTTATATTTCCTACAAAATTTACAGTGTACCAGCTTACAGAACCGTCAGGGTCCATAAACGTAGAAACCTATCAAACGTGTAAGTAAATTTCAAAGTCTATTTCAACGATAGGCTTGAGAAACGTATTATTATTTCATCATCGCTTCCGATCCGGCTCCATACAAGCACTGCTGCCTTTATTGGTTCCATGTCCTCGGCATTTTGTCAAATGCTTTATGGCGACGGAGTTTTCATCATTGCTGTGCACTGTAGCGGTTTCCAGTTGCGGCTTGTGCACATCTACAGCGAGAGTGCTGGTCCCAGTAACCATGTAAATGTGGAGAATTTTAAGAAGATGGCTTTCTTTTAGGTTGTTGCACCGTGTAGTCTGGTAGAAGTTTACCAGAAGACAATCTTGCTCAGACTCGCCGCCGTGAAAATCTCGAATCTTTCTTAGAGAATTGTAGACAGTCTAAACATTTAGAAAATTTTGGAAACATTTTACTTACGAAGATTTATTTATTGTTGATTTGAAACTTTCGTGATGATACATAATTAATGCTGATCCAGTTACTGGATGATGATGATGTGTGTAAGTGAGCTGTGTTGCCGACGTCGTCATAATCAAGGAGTTGTAGATTACAGTCTAAGAGGCCACATATTTCAGTTGACCTGTTTACATAATGATATTAGTTTTACTTAATAACCTTCCTTTTCTAACTACGTTTCTTCAAGACGTTTCCGGGGAGAGATCAGATCCCGTAAACGTCCTTCAAATACCCTTCACCCGGGGAACCTATTTACGAAGAGAACTAGACAATTTGATTTTAATTTTTATTTAACGAAGATGTCGGAAATGTGACATTTATCTGATGAACTTTTGTTTCCGTGAAGGTGATTCTACAGACATATATTTAATTTCGCTTTTTTTTATTTAATTACGCATTATCAACTGCAGTCTGTATGTATTGTCAGTGGTAGGTTAATTTTTTAATTAGTTCTATGCACTGGAAATCATGTGATTATTTTAAGGGACTGTTTCGTGGGAAGGATAACAATAATTCCAAAACCTTTTTTGTGATACCTAACCTCCCGGCTGAGTTTTGAACTCAGAACTCTCGAATATGAAGCAGGAGTGTTACCAATTCTACGGCGACGTACAATAATGCTGCTGTGTTGTGGGTTCGGGTTCTACGTCAATGTTCCGTATTAATTCAGTAAGTCCGATATTTTTCCGATAACAAAACATTTAACCGTTCTTTTGTTTTCTGTGATGAGCGGCTATTGGCTGAGATCCTCCTGTGTGACCCAGAATCAATGAACGCTTTATTAATTGATGAAGACTGCCGATTAATTGAAATTGGCGTGTTCATTAGCTGGCAATTTTATACAAATACATCACACGTTGGCGAGTTGTGTCTTTACTGTAATCACAGCTCTAACGGACATCTGAAACTAAACTGTTTCTGTGGAATCGACCGAAGGGGTTTCAGGGCGCATTCGTGTGGCTTCAGAGGAAATGGTGATCTACACAAAATTGCTATTGTTTTATAATATGTTTACTCGGGTAAAAATTAATTAGAATTTAAATGGAATTTTTGATGAACTGTATAACTAGTGTCAGTGGTCGGAGCTGTGTAAATTAGTTACGACTCATTTTGTTTCATGGAGTGTTTTTTTAAATACTGATTGGAAAATGATACAATTAAACGTGACCTGTCATTTTTTCCGTTCCTTTTACGGAGAGGAAAAATAATTTAAAATATGTCTGGTGCTTCGTTATTAATTTTTTGGGACTGACTGAGATTGAAATCGGCGCGGGACAGTTTTATTTTGAAGAGTTGTGCGCAGTTTGAGGGGTAATGGCGAAAGAGATAGTTATAGAGGTTATAGTAACGGTAGTGGGGGTGCAAGTTTCTTTTCCTGTGCTGTGGATGAGAAAGAGAGTGGGGGGTGTCGGTTATGAAGAAGGGGTGGTGTGTAGTGGGGCGGAGGGGGATATCCAAAGAGAGGCAAGTTTGGAACGCCGTTACCGCTGCCGTCGCCGACTCGCGGTGGCTGGTGGGACTCGACTAGCGGGCGACTACTTGCAAGAGCAGCGTGGTCGAGCTAGCATCGTCCGAGGAGTAGGAGGAGGAGGAGGAATTTCCACGCGGGCATCTCAAAACGCCGGATTTACCTGCTTCTCTTTAATCAGGACCAGCCACCTCACACAGCTTTTCCATTAAGAGACCTGGAATCCGAGAGTGGTAATCGGTGTGTACTTCATCATAGTTTAAGGCACAAGACTCAAGACTCAAGACTGTCAAATTTTAAATTACGCGCCTTTTATGTGTACGTCTAATTGACAAAAACCATGAACCAAACTGTATGGTTAGTGTCTAATGAGTTGTCGTTTGAGCTGCATCTCCTAGCAGTAGTGCAGGCTAGAGGTCCGGTTTAAGTATCTGGTCTGCGAACAGTGATCTGTGTTAGCTGTAACAATAAAGCAGTGTTTCTGTGTGTTAGTTTCTTGCTTTGACATCGCACTTGAGGCTCCACGTTTAAGGCACCGTTTGTTTTGTGGTAGCAGCGAAAGGTCGTCTTGCAACAACTGCTTGCTCCCAAGACTATATAGCAGGAAGTCATTCGTGTGAGAGGGCTGTTGTTAAATTCCGACTGTGGAACGTCTTCAGCAACGGCTGCCACGACGAGCAATTCATTAGCGGCGTTGACTCAACTTATCGGCTCGTGTGAGAGTATGGAGGCGACCTACTGCATGGGAACAGATGTAGACGTCTGCCGGATGTTCGATCAGTACCTCTACAAGGTGAGTTGTGTGGGTTCTTAAAATTACTTGTGGTCATAAATTCCTTTTCTTGTGATGACATTAATTTCATGTCTTTGGTTTTAACAAAATGGAAACTTTCGTTTTATCGCATCTACTTTCCACACTTGAGATTTTAATAGCGAAGTGCTAGGGAAGGTGTATGATTTCTTACGAAAGGGAGGAGGGCAACTTACATTTTACAATGAGGAACGTCTTGATTTTTGCACATCACTTAATGTTGTTACGACTGTTACATCTAAGAGGTTGCTGTGAGCTAAGAATTTAGGCCGAATGCTTGGGATAAAATACTGGCATTTAGAATTTTGGTGGGTAAACTTGTTCGAAAGCGTTCACTTACAGGATCATGAGGAAGATGGGATGATGTAATTAAAATATATCTTTCAGAAATAGTTTGTAAGTGTATTAGTTCGATCTGCTTGACTCTGGATCCCATCGAATGGCAAACTTCGGTTTTCCCGTGCTAAAGGGGAAATGCAAATTTGATTCAGACATCTTTTCTCGAATTTTGCAGCATTTACTATTTGAGTCCGTTGCGTTTTTTATTATCACTGTGTTGTATGCCGATTTAATTTAATATACACTTGCCACAGTTTAATTAATTTTCTATATTTTCTCTGCCACATTTTGGCAGTTCAACTTCATATTGTAACTCCACAACTTAATATTAGTTTAATTGAAATATGTTCTCTATGCTCGTAGAGTTTATGGTGGGAGGGAGAAAGCAATAAACATTCCAGGATCGTACTCGGTCAGGTTATTAGAATAATGCAATTAATATCCGACGTCATATTCAAATATATTATCGTTTACGGTACTTGTGGGTTATCGGGATACAAAACAGAGAGGCACGGCCTGACATCATCTGGATTCATATTTAGCTGAGTTCATGTGGCGGCGTACAAATGATAACGGCGATATTTTTAAAACGATTTTAAAATCTATAAACGAATTTTGGCCTCCCTAGACAGGTAGTAACAACAATTAACATCTCATGCATATCAAAATAAAATATAATAATTTGTCATTTATTGAAATAAAATATACTAACTTTCAAGTATATGTCATTTATCCGCACACATTAACCTAACACATCCTATTTTTAAAGCGATGTGTCCCGATAACCCACAAGTACCGCGTTTACGTATCTGCGTTTGGAATATGCTTTTGTCAGCGGTGCTGCATACAGGTCTACCCTAAATTCTGGCGGTACTTCAAGGCACTTGGTAAAAAGAACAGAAAACGCAACTGTTCAAGCAGCGTCGCACAAAGCGTAGTTGACTGTTGATGGCTATCTTTGGGTTGTAGCGTCTTATAGTCTGGTAGAAGTAGTGCAACGCATCAGAGGTCCTTGCTGCCTCCATTATCAAGGCGCTGTTGTTGATTGTTGATGGAAACAGCAAGGACCCAGAAGACTACCGTCTTCGTACTCATTGCCTTGAGAACCTTAATTCCTATTGAGTTAATTGTTCTTACAATTTGGCGTTGCGATATAATTATCAAACAGGCGTACCTGTACAAAATATGTTTTCATCGTCTGTATTTTCTTGCTTTTTTTAGTCCTCCGGTGTCGTATAAACCTATTTTGTATTTTTTTTTACATTAACCCGTTAAATAATGTGCTGAGCTCCGTGTGTGGGGGGTGGGGGGTTTCAGCAATCTCAGTACTACAGAAAAACACGAGCGAGATTTACAATCCGTATTTTAAAAAGATACACTACATGGCTACTAAATTTATTCTTTAAAATGTATTTAAATGTTGACAGAAGTGCTTTGTGAAGGAGGTAGTACTTAAAACAATTTTAATGCATTCTTGCGGCTGTTAGTTTCATCCACTTATAAATACTATCTCCAGTGCAGCTGAAAATTGTCGGCAATCTAACAAAATCGATGAAGTCATAGGAATTGAAGGTAGGTGCGTTTGGGGTCCACAAAATATTACATAATGTAACATTTCTTTGATGAAAGTCGGGTGTAGTGTTCTGTTTATACAACACACGTTATTCACGATATGGGAAGAGTTATTGACTCGGACTGCCCCCTGTTTTATCAGTATTGTTTGAGCTTTGCTTGGATAAATAAGAACAATACTATTTGTCTGCATAGTGAAAGAATACTTAATGAAACATAGAGGAATAGTAGAAAACCGTTACTGAAAGCAATGTTACCTTACATAAAATGAGTTATTTCTAATTTAAAGCCTAGATTTTATATATCACATCCTCTTTGGTAAATGATGGCTTACTGTGGGTACACGTTCTATTGCTAATTTTTTTCTGAGTCATCATACGTACACCTGAAATTGACGTATGGACATTTTAAACCAGGGTTATACAATTTGTTGTAGTGTGTGATTATGATCTCGCTGTAACGTATGTTTGGATGCTGTGCCACGTGTTGATGAAATGTTTATATTTCCCACGGCGCGTACGGTATTGCATCGGTCACAGGTTCGAATTCCAGCTTAGAGATTGTTAATTGTCTTTGCTTTTCTGCGATACCCTTTGCTGAATAATTGCAGAGACCTTGAAAACCGGGTGACTCCCACCGTGTTCGGAAAAAAAATTGCCAACTCAGATATATTAAACCTCTGAAAACTAAAGTAGCTGGCGTTGAAAGCAGAGATAAGTTCTTCGCGTAATAAGGACCTATTTCCTTCTGTGACGCATTGTGAATGTTGTAGCATTGCGCCGATAAACCTAAGTATTCAACTTATATAGTATACAGGGTTCGGGAAGTATTCTCGTCTGCTGTTTCGTGATGACGGAAGAAGAATCAATGCCGGCGATTAGAAAATTGCTATTATGTGTCCTCATTGTGTCGCAAAAAGTCGTAAATTAATGGAGCAGAGTTCTTGAGAAACTGATAGTCGCTGAAAAGTCGAGAAAGAGGAAACTATTACTCTTCTCTCCCCCCCGCCCCCCCCGCCCCTCATGAACACGATGGTCCATTGCCGCTTTCAGCATCATTTGACACAGATTCCGTTCATGAGCCACATCTATTTTATTTCCTTATTATTCGTTTTAATTGCTTCCTTTTATCTACGCCTAGGTCTTCTGAGTGGTCACTTTCCCTTTGCATTTATATCCACCAAGCTCACTACACGTCCGCCTATGTCATTATTGATTTGATGATCCTAATAATACTTGAAGAGTACAAATTATGAAAGTTTACATTATGCAGTTTTCTCCAGCCTCCTGAAGCTGCATCCCTCTTTGATCCGCTTGTTCTTGTCAGCGCCTTTTCTCAAACGCCCTCAATCTCTGTTGTTGAATGAATGTCAGAGACTAAATTCCACACCATAAAAACAATTGAAACCCATTGGCTTACCTTTTATAGTCTGTGGTGCATAATTCAACTACCTGACGTTTTATGTTGACTTATATGTATTTATGTATTACTAACAAGTATTTATAAGAACCATACCTAGAGGCTTTTATGCTACAGACGTGACAAAGAGGGTTTTTTTATTAAAATTGGATACCCTAGTTTTATATTCTAGCTGTTACAATATGTTCTATTTATTAACCTCATAGGAGGAAAGAAACTTAATGAAGTACGTCTGTTTTGACTTTCGAATTCATCGTCACTTGGGCCTATACCGTGACTGATTCAGAGTCCAATATTTTGTTGTACATCGGCCATTGTCTGAGATATATTGATATAACCTACATGATGTTTCAAGAGTTGGCACTGTTCCCATCTTCGGGTGATAGGTTATCATTATGCCGACATATTTCTTTTTATTACTAAAGTTAGGATAACTGATGACGGCTGGAAAGGAACCCTCGAATTTTGGCATACAACACTGATACACTAACCACTTAACACTAACATAAAAGTAAGATCTATGTAAATTACCTCAAGAGGAGCGTAGAACCAGCTTACGGAACGTCGTGCACATGAAATTTAGGCTGAATTTATACAACAAAACACCAGCTAGCTATTGGCATTATAGACAAGATACTAAAATATTGGTCTTCTGGGATGTAACGCCATGTGGACTTGTAATAATATTGGGTTTCTGAAAATGGAGACGGTATGTTCCTTCGAAGCGTTGTTGTCTACTCACAATTCCACACTGCGCTACAACCTTAAAGACCACAGTGATATTCTGTGACCAAGTTTATTTTCCGGGCACAAATTATTCCAAAATGTTTGCGCATTGAGTACTATAAACGTGCACTGTCTTGACGTGATTTGTGAAAGCTGGTATCTGACCGAAGAAGGCTGTTTTCTGGGTTGTAGTGTCATGTAGGCTGCTAGAAATTTACCAAAGTTTCAGAAGTTTTTGCTCTCTCCATCATCAGGGCAATGGCACGGACCCATGAAACTTCCACCAAACTACACCCCCCCCCCCCCCCCCCCCCGCCCCTCATGAACACGATGGTCCATTGCCGCTTTCAGCATCATTTGACACAGATTCCGTTCATGAGCCACATCTATTTTATTTCCTTATTATTCGTTTTAATTGCTTCCTTTTATCTACGCCTAGGTCTTCTGAGTGGTCACTTTCCCTTTGCATTTATATCCACCAAGCTCACTACACGTCCGCCTATGTCATTATTGATTTGATGATCCTAATAATACTTGAAGAGTACAAATTATGAAAGTTTACATTATGCAGTTTTCTCCAGCCTCCTGAAGCTGCATCCCTCTTTGATCCGCTTGTTCTTGTCAGCGCCTTTTCTCAAACGCCCTCAATCTCTGTTGTTGAATGAATGTCAGAGACTAAATTCCACACCATAAAAACAATTGAAACCCATTGGCTTACCTTTTATAGTCTGTGGTGCATAATTCAACTACCTGACGTTTTATGTTGACTTATATGTATTTATGTATTACTAACAAGTATTTATAAGAACCATACCTAGAGGCTTTTATGCTACAGACGTGACAAAGAGGGTTTTTTTTATTAAAATTGGATACCCTAGTTTTATATTCTAGCTGTTACAATATGTTCTATTTATTAACCTCATAGGAGGAAAGAAACTTAATGAAGTACGTCTGTTTTGACTTTCGAATTCATCGTCACTTGGGCCTATACCGTGACTGATTCAGAGTCCAATATTTTGTTGTACATCGGCCATTGTCTGAGATATATTGATATAACCTACATGATGTTTCAAGAGTTGGCACTGTTCCCATCTTCGGGTGATAGGTTATCATTATGCCGACATATTTCTTTTTATTACTAAAGTTAGGATAACTGATGACGGCTGGAAAGGAACCCTCGAATTTTGGCATACAACACTGATACACTAACCACTTAACACTAACATAAAAGTAAGATCTATGTAAATTACCTCAAGAGGAGCGTAGAACCAGCTTACGGAACGTCGTGCACATGAAATTTAGGCTGAATTTATACAACAAAACACCAGCTAGCTATTGGCATTATAGACAAGATACTAAAATATTGGTCTTCTGGGATGTAACGCCATGTGGACTTGTAATAATATTGGGTTTCTGAAAATGGAGACGGTATGTTCCTTCGAAGCGTTGTTGTCTACTCACAATTCCACACTGCGCTACAACCTTAAAGACCACAGTGATATTCTGTGACCAAGTTTATTTTCCGGGCACAAATTATTCCAAAATGTTTGCGCATTGAGTACTATAAACGTGCACTGTCTTGACGTGATTTGTGAAAGCTGGTATCTGACCGAAGAAGGCTGTTTTCTGGGTTGTAGTGTCATGTAGGCTGCTAGAAATTTACCAAAGTTTCAGAAGTTTTTGCTCTCTCCATCATCAGGGCAATGGCACGGACCCATGAAACTTCCACCAAACTACACGGCGGTACAACTCAGAGGACAGCCATTTTCATAGTCACTGTCGTGGAGAACCTTAAATTCTGCTGCCCCATCGAAGAGGGGGTGCATGATTTTGCTTTGAGTATACAGTTGTCCACCCAGGTCACGTCATGTTGTAACCCTCTCGCGGAAGTCCATCAGTTGTATTTCAACAGTCGAAGTGCAAGGATGAGTTTTTCATTAGTGCAGTGCGTGTTCATTGTCGAACAGTACCTGGTTTCTCGTTCTTACTTAACTTGCCAGAATGAGGTTTGACATACATTTCCCGACTCTCCTCTGCCAAACTAATTGACAATATTTTTTCGATCGGCCTATACTTTACAGTTGCCTCTTTGCAAATCCCTACCCGGTCAACAGTTGTGATAAAATTCCTGTTTCTTTCGGCGTCACGTGAGTTGTAATTTCGCATTTCAAATACCATTAAGTAACTCAAATACCGATATTAGAAGGCGCTGGAATATCTCAATGGGCTGCACAATCGAGGTTTGATTCCTGGCAGTTGAAGGGATTTTCCTCTCCGCCACCATATGCAGGCCAGCTTCGAGGTTAACCCGGCCTCTTGTGCATTGGTAATTGAGGATTTTTCGTCGGATGCAAAACGGCCGGAGAGTGACCGCTCATTTCCATCTTGAGTCGAGTTAATGCGTTGAGCTCTGCCTGTAGTTCATCTACACGCCTCCAGTTATAGTTCCTAATCACAGGAACCACTTTACCTACACCGCACCAGTCTTGACAGTTATATAATTTCCTGCAACACACTGTCAGCCTCTAGTTATTTTCAGTTACCGAAACGTGACTGTGTAAATACAGGCCGTGTAGTTTATGGTCGACGTATTATTCAGGTGCGGCCCAGAACTCATTGCAGCAAACAATTACCGACTTAAGCGTTGCATTATATTTGTAGACGGGATGGTTTAATTACAGCATCCAATATGGCCGCTCAACGCTAAGGCAGTTTGTGGTCCAGGACTGCTCGAAACTTGGGATGTGTGTCCGCATTTGTCTGGATGGACTGATCCCACATCGATAATTCCTGATGAATGCCCAGTAGGGTCTAGATCAGCATTTCTCAACCTCTGGTACGCGTATCACTGGTGGTACGCGAACTAAGTAAGAAAATTAATCCATGCTGAAATTAACTGAAAATTTTTGTTTGGCTAAACAAGCACAACTTTCGCACTGAATCCTAAATTAGTCTGTTATGTATTCAAAAATAGGCTTTTTGTGCAATATGAAATGGTCATATATGTATGTACACTTCAGTTTTTGCTGTTATGTGGTTGAGTAGTTATTAAACTATTCACTACTTGAGCATTATTTTGCACATACCTTTCTGTATATTTAATGTAGCTTTTCTTTCAGTAAATGCAGTTAAAGAGAGAAACTGTTTCTCATTGAAGTAGTTACACATGTGGTGACCGCGAAACGTTAGTTACGCCACTGGAGGCAGGCATCAAGTTTTTCCTGAACGCATTTTGTTAGTGGTACATTTGATGTGTCAACTTAGAATTAATGGTACACCAGCAAAAGAAGTTGAGATCCCCTGGTCTAGGTTATAGTGAAGAAAGGCCTGAATGGGGTTTATTGGTGTTAAACTTAGTCTCTTACATTTAGCTGTCCCACTATGCGCCATGTAGGCGCTTGGGGGGGAGAGGTATAGATCCTACTCATTCTTGACCTCGGCACCAGATGGGGTGAGTGGTCAGCATCACGCACTGGCCGCACTTTACCCCCGGAAAAGGGCCCCGGTACCCATTGGACAGGAATAGATTGAAAATGAAGTTATTCTGGGTTTTGGCGCCATGTTGACTCGTGGGTGGATGCCAAAATTTTGAATAAACAAACTGTATCTTCAGAGCTGAAATGACTTTAGCTTTGAAAATGGATTAATCATCATCATCATCATTATTCTCACCACTGTGAAAACTTCAACTCTCTTACAGATTGAGAACATAGGAACATGGTGAAGTGGAGAATAATTTTATCTAAGAGGAGAGGATGTGCAAGGAGGAGCTTCATGATTTTACGGTGACCAAATCAATTGGTGAGATATGTAACAGGCGTAGAGAGATGATAAATGCTGACATTTTAGCGGGAAAATGTGAATGGCTGAGAGTAGTTTGAAGATATAAGCATAGATGGGAGAATATAATTAATTTTCAAAATAAATGTAATACGAGGATTTGGATTTGATTTATTTGGCTCAGGATAGGACTTATTGACGGATTTTTAAGAACTTAATAAACAAGCGTCGAGTTCTATAAACAGCTTGGTGCTATTGCGGGTCTCTCAAGATGCAGTCTGCTGATTGGAGTTATAAATCTGTACATTGAACCTTAACTGAGCCAATAGAAGGGGGTAGATGTAATAATCTTATTTATTGATCATAAATTAGAGTCCGCACCGAAACCTTTGTTTACATGAACGGCATTTAGTTCTGACAGTCATAGAAATGAGCCATCGAATTCATAATGTCTGTGCGAGTCTAAAGAAGTCTAATATAAATTGTATAGGCTTATGGGAAACGGTAACAGATGTTGCACAGTGTAGCTTATAGTTTAAATAATACATAATGTAAATCGTTTGTATTATATTATTGTTACCGAAGCAAGGAATGCGTTAGTACAATAGTAGCAGACTTCCTGGACCATGACATGTTGGCGTTATCAGAGAATTCTTAATTCTTCAGGTCCATTTAATAACACTTTTATAGTCCAGTGGTAACTGTATATACCACCTGCTTTATAATCAGCAACTCTGCATTTTATATTTATCGGTTTCGTGTGATTCTTAGAATCAGAAGCGATTATTTCCCCCAACATTTACCAGCTCGTCTCTGTAAGCGATAAATATTTTTTGACGTAAATACGTCTATAAAGGTGGCGACTGACTTGTAACATTTGCCTGTAATGTAACGTGTTACAAATCGAGCTTTACACAAGTGAAGACAGCGAACGGAGCCGCTCGATGCGAGCCGCTCACGCTTGCGGGCGCTCCATCGTGTTGTCGGTTTTTTCGCGAATCCCTTTGAGTGTTACATTACAAGTCAGTCAGTCAGTCAGTCGAGCGGCGTCGTAACGAGCATTCACGAGTTCTTTAAATAAGAGTAGCGTATTAAATGGAACAAAGATAACACAACCTCCATGTCCGACATATTGAATGAAATGAAGGGAGCACACACGAGCACAGTCGAGCCGAGCGTTCAAAACGAGCATTCGATGCGCCTCACCAGTTGTGGTGTAATGTAACATGCTCGCCGCGAATGTTACATTACGAGTAAATGTTACAAGTCAATCGCCATCTTAACGAAGGGTTATTCGGCAAAAAAGTGGAACGAAAAAGTGTAACAATGGTTTACAAACAACAATGACATTATTGTTACCTACGTCGTCTGTTTACTTGCCATTGTTGCCGTCAACAATGGGCTTTCGTTAGTGTGGAAAGAGTTGAGCTGTGAATTGCTTGTAGAAGAAGTGCGTCGTAGTTTGTTGCGTCATACTATGTACAAGATGGATGACATTGAAGCTAAATGACTCCATAAAGCAGAATATATGAGACAGTACAGAAAAAGTAAAAATATAGAAGTTGTTGAGTCTGGAAATTGCTCCTGCACAAAATAAAACACCCTTATCCGTCATATACGATGAACATGCAGAAGAGTTGTCATTTCCAGGCATCTGTTTAGGAAGATCTAGGCAATTTAAAGAACATCACAAGGTAACACCATTCATGATGGCAACCAATTGTAAAGCGGGTATAAAGGAAATATTTATAATAAAGCCAATATATAAACTTCCTTTCCGTATAGACGTATTTACGTCAAATTCTCCGGAACCATGGTTCCACTGACAATTTTTGTTGAGGTACGGACTGATTGTTGTTTTTCTTGTTGTTGTTTAGACTAACGTCGTCATTGCAATTATTGTATTATACAGGATGGCGGACGAAATGTTACGTAAGTTTTATATTTATATTTTTCAGTGTGTGCTATATGCCCGTCTCATATCAGAATTATAAAGACGCGCTATTTTGAAACTATTCGCACATCTTAATTTGAGATTGACATTATTTGTGTAAACTATAGAGATTACTGTTGTGATCATGAAATTAGTCTAGAATACCCTAATAGTCGTCAGGTATTATACTTTTGTGTGTAGCAAACTAATGTTTAGTCCACAAATTTTGAGTTCTAATGATCACGTTGTGTTTGTAGGACTGCTAAATGTATCATGAATCTCACCTAAAATAAATTCATGTCCTTCGCAGTGCAAGTTGTCGCCTTCATGAAATCCTCGCCTTTCTTACAAGGTTTTTGCCCTTCGGACCCTATCCGACTTTACACAAACTATTCAACAACCTCATTTGTGGTAATCTCTAGCTTACCGGTAGACATGGCTGCTCCACTTAACCTGTTATTCTTAATGTTATCGGAAATTTTGTTTATTTCACAAATTCCTCACATCCTCATTTCGCTGTCTGTCTCAAAGTTACTCCTTTCAGTCCATGTAAAAGTGTAATTAGTGCTGCTTCGATCCCTTGGTTATATATCGATCTTATCATGCGAGATCACCTTGTATGTACATCATATGCCTGATGATGGGGGCGGAGATGGTTCCCAAAACGTTTTCTTCGTGTAACCAATTGACGCGGCTGATTGCCCGAGAAGACTTTGGAGTTTAGTTGCCGCGAAAGCACCAAATCATATATGCTCTTAAGCGTGTACGTATACAAACTGGCACTGTTATTGTAAAAGTATATTTTTCTTTCAGTTAAAATCGCAACATGTCAGGCCTTCAGCCTTAAAAATTGTGTAAATTGGTTAGTGAGAAGGCACTTAATGCCGTTATGACCTAAATACGTCTATATTTTAGGGTCAGTGTCATTCCGCAAAAACGTGTGACGAAAATGTGTAAGATGGTTACCTAGGAAACTTCATCTGTTTATCAACAAATAAACAACAATAGTTACCTAGGGAACGTCATCTGTTTATCAACAAATCGACAATAATGGTTACCTAAGGAACATCTATTTACTCGACATTTTTGTTACCTAGGAAACATTACATTACCTTACCTTACATTACATTAGTTTACATTACATTCAGCTACCACAGACCCATATTAAGCGTAACTAATTCAAGTTAAATAAGCAATGTCTTAATCAAACTTTACTCAAGTGTAAAGCATGTATAAAGGAAATATTTAGAATAAAGCCAATATATAAACTTCCTTTCCATATATCCGTATTTACGTCAAATTCTCCGGAACCTTGGTTCCACTGACAACTTTTTATTTAATGGAAAAAGTCTGTTTTTCAGTAATGTCTGTCTTGCATAAATCCTTCGTAAGTTTCCGTGGTTGTAATTGTGTACATAGGCCCACGCCATACTAAACTTACATGCAGACTATAGCTTGTATTTATGTTTCCCATGTTTCTGTTTTCTTTCCTTGTTGGGAGGTCATAGATGCCAAGTCCGATGAACCATAGGATATTCTAATATATTACTTAAACTTCTCCATATATGGACTTCTGTTTAATTTGGCAAGGGATATGTAAAGTAAATATATAGTTTTACGAGCTCAGATAGTTTTATATTTGCATTGTACGGAATAAACTGCTGATCAATTTTTATCCGTTTTAATTGGGACTTGAAATAAATAGTTAAAGAATTATATGGAGACGTAAGGTGGCGAATGATTGGCAATGGCATGTGTCACGACTAAAGAATAAATCAGCAGTGGTGCACATCAGTCTGTGGCAGCTTGCTGTCTATAGAAACTGCTAGTAGACCGTATCACATATTGAAGCTATTCTGTATTATTTATCGCGATCTATAATCAAAATTGTGTTTGCGCTGCATTGCTTGGCAACTGAGTGATGAACATGAAATACTTGTACAGAAAAATATCACCGTGATTATCATTATCATAAAGTATTTTATTTGTACCAGATTTTGATATTCTGTGGGTATTTATTAACTTTGTCTGAACAATAAAGCGATCTGAGGTTCTGACGGCGGTGAGTACGAAGATGGCTGTGTTCTGGTTTGTAGTGGCGTGTCGTCTGGTAGACTACACGATAATTGCGTTGGTGATGGACCTCTGAGAAGGTTGGTTAACTTATTAGACTATACGACGCTGCAACCTAGAGGAAGGTCATCTTATTAAAGCGATATTTCGCTGCGGGGGTTACATGTAATTCGGCAGCGTTGTTTCAGTTATCCTGATTGTGGGAAGATGTACGAAACTTAAACCACAATGACGAAGCTTGGGAAGAGTCACTAATTTGAATTTGGCGTGACACCGTTTTCGGAATTTTATTGTATGATTTATCTTTTGCTGTAATACTTACATTAAAATCCTTTGGGCGAATGTGTGAGTTGGTCCCTATTTACATTTGATTTGCTATAATTTGTTTTCGATTAAGCAGTTGAGGACAGCCGACAAAATATGGTCCCCCAATTTGGAAACATGGCTGTAATATAAGAATCGTTGATGTGAAATGTGTGTTACGAAACTTTTCACAAATCTCTGATAATATGGAACGGCCTGTGCGACATTTGAAGTAGGTGTGTGGAATTGTCTGAGGAGCTCGCCCGATGGCTGTTGTTGAACCTTCGGGTTCTGTTGCCTCGGTGTCAGTTACACACACAGAAACGAATTATAAAGTGACCAGTAATGTTTTTAAATCTAATATTTGTATCAGTCACACATTAAATTTACTACATTCTTTGTTTCTTAAACCCTTAAACGGCAACGTTTGTTGTAAAAATTATGTGACGTTAAGTTGCAAAACGTTAGTGTAAACTAGTCGTAGCAGGAAATTGTCTTCTCACCACCGCATCCAGACCGAATTTGAGTCCTCATTAGCCAATGAAAATTACTTCTTCTTGGTTTCTTTCCAAAGGAATAAAGCGTCCGAAGCGTGATGCTCACTGATCACTCCTGTCTACTGCCTAGGTAAAAACTTTGTAGATTTCTTTCCCACCAGAGGTATTCATGGTATGGTGCGTAGACAGAGGCTTAATTTTACTCTTTGATTAACTAATACCGTGCCAAACATATTAGCGCTTTGGTGAAATATAAATTTCCACTGTATGCATTGAGAAAATGAGATACATAAATATATTTTCGAATGTAGTGCATTTGGGTACCTCATAGCATTGAACGAAGCTGAAGTCGGCGCCATGTAGTATAGTATAAGTTTACCGACGTTGCGGAGGTGCTTACTGCCTCCATCATCAAGGTGATCATTGCACCATCGCCCTGATGATGGAGGTAGCACGAATCTCTGAAACGTCGGTACATTTCTCTCAGACTAAACAACGCAATATCCTAGAAGACTGTTATCTTCATACTTGTCGCCTTAAGATCCAGAAATCTCACCAAATAATAACTTAGCTTCATAGCCATACGATGATAGTCCTACGTAGTAGCTCAGTGTTAGACATCTTTTCTGTTCATAAGATAATCTGTTGTTGACACGTGTAAGCAGGTCGGCGGGAGAAACATAGGGTTCTCTGATGCTGTTCGGTAATCACTTAGCACACAAGTTACACTTGTGAAGATGTGTTAAGGACAGTCCATCTTTTTGAAGTATAAAGAATAAGAGTTTATATTATGGGGGTATGAGTGATCGAGTCCTAAAGTGGGATTCGTTGTTCACGTCACTTCTGTTGCAGAGAAGCTGTTTCCTACACAGCACAATTGGAGATGAGCGTTTTGTACCATCAGCAGTAGAGGTGGAGGCACCGTCCACCCTCTTCCCAAGCCCCCTAACAAACCCACCCCCAACTTGGAGATCGATGCTTTGGGAAAGTTGTGATGTTAGTTGAGGGAGACCCTTTCCAACTACTCTGCGATATAATTTGCATGAAGTGCCTCAAGCCATATGGACTACAAAATAAGCAAAAGAGACGGAGAGACAGGACCGATAACTTTATTGCATTACTTCGTTGAGTAAGCTACATTCGTGCAAGTATGATAATAGTACCGCATCTGCGCATGTATATTGCTAGGATTGCATGTTTGGAACAGCTGGAGTTATTATTCTTTTAGATTAAATAACTTCTATATTTTAAACTTTCGAAAGGCACAAAGGTGATTGCTACAAGATATTCATGTCTTTGGCTTATTTGGCATTCAAAAGAATTGTGGTTGATTTTGTCTAGACATTATGCCAGACTTCTTACCGTTTCACGTGTATCGTCATCGTCATCTTAACTCACGCCAGTGGTATTCGTTAATTTCTACAATTAAATTTGAAGAATTATGAAGAATTGATCTTATGTATGGAATCCCTTCTCTTTGGATACGAATTGAAATATTAACCTCGATATCATAACAGTCAACTTTCTGATTTTATGCTATTGCTTCAGTAACAATAGTATAATAATATCAGCCGCCATTATCGTTATTTTTAAAATAAATCAGTCATCAGTAGCCAAAGCCTTTTGTGTAAAATTTTTTATTTTAACTTGTTTTATTATGGTTGATCCTTAGTTTGCTGTATTTGTTAATTTTCTTAAAAACAAAGCACGCACCCATCTGGCTGTACATTTAAGTTGCCTTACTGGAGACCACCCCCATTTTTATACTTCAAAATTTCGTACCACCAGTAAGACTAAGATGACGATATTGCGTGCTTTAGAGGTGGCAGTAATACTAGCGCTACTTAATATATCTCTGTAATTTTGTATAAAATAGATCTTTGGAAAGATATAACTTTTGTTAATGCATTTTTTTTAATAAAAGGTAAATTGTCTGTCACGTGTAATCTACGTTATTTTTCTCAATGACTAACCGATAGCTTATGAACAACTGGACCTAAGTACGCGAGGGTTTGTGGGGTAATACGGTATATAGAATGTCAGAAAACATACTTACATATTCCGTATGAAACACGTTTTGTGTGCTAAAGAGTTCCAAACTTGGCGGCGACGGTGCTATTCTGTGA